GAAGCGAAGTATGCCAAGTTTCTCTGTCTAATAGAAAGATCTATTTGCTAACATTTTACCAGTCCGCCGTGTGTTGCGCTCTTTGAGTGTCAAGCAGGGTCGCAAATATGACGACCCAGCTTCAGCATCTCAGATCAAGGACTTTATCAATTTCCACCAGCTAGATATGTCCGAAGTCTTGATGCCCCTAGACAAGTTCCGCAACTTCAACGAATTCTTCTACCGTGCCCTCAAACCTGAGGCCCGTCCATGCTCCGCTCCCGACGAGCCTAAGATTGTTGTCTCTCCCGCCGACTGTCGATCCGTGGTCTTTGACCGCTTGAGCGATGCAACCAGCATCTGGGTCAAGGGTCGTGAGTTCTCAATTGAAAGATTGTTAGGCAATGCTTACCCAGAGGATGCTGCTCGATACCGAAACGGTGGTGTCGGAGTGTTCCGTCTGGCACCTCAAGATTACCACCGCTTTCACATCCCCGTAGATGGAATCATGGGTCAACCCAAGACCATCGAGGGTGAGTACTATACGGTGAATCCCATGGCGATCCGATCCGCCTTGGATGTCTACGGTGAAAATGTCCGCATTCTCGTCCCCATTGACTCTGTTGAGCATGGCCGAGTTATGGTTGTCTGCGTTGGTGCCATGATGGTTGGCAGCACCGTCATCACCCGGAAAGCCGGCGAGAAGGTTTCTCGCGCTGAAGAACTGGGCTACTTTAAGTTCGGTGGTAGCACCCTTTTAGTGCTCTTTGAAGATGGCATGGTCAATTTCGACAGGGACCTGGCGGACAACTCCAAGGGTGCTTTGGAAACTTTGGTAAGAGGCGAACCCTGTTTCTCATACTTGATCAATTATATACTAACACTCCCTTCTCATTAGATCCGAGTTGGCATGTCCGTCGGACACAGCCCGGATATTCCTCAGTATGAACCTGACATGCCCAAGAAGTCGGAGAATATCACTGCCGAGGAGATGCAAGAAGCCAAGCGGCGCATCGAGGGCAGCCTGGCACCACCTAGCAAGACCTCCACTTTACTCAAGTCGGTCCAATGATCTGTCATTCTTTTTTCCTCTGGAGTGGACAGGGCTCAACTCCCACCGCTTTTTTCTCACTGAACATATTGTTTTTCAACATCGGTGTCGGGGTGTTATTTGTATTCTGGTGAAAACATCATAGCGTTTATCTAGCAGCATCTGCGCATTGCGAGGATTGGGGATAGAAGAGATGAGGGAGAGAGTTGCATTTTAGAGCCAGTCATATATGAACAGCGCTTCAATATTTTATCATATGAATGAAAGCAGTGAAGCAGTCAAAGTAAAAGAGCGTTGAAGTATAACCGTTAGTCCCAAAACAGACTAGCGCGGTCCCCACGCGCCGACCAAAACAACCGCGTGCGAGAATCCAACCCACCACTCACACCCCAACCTGCCTCTCCCTTGCGTGTCTTTTTCGCGATTGAATTGAATAAGTCGCCTAATCTGCTGCTCCTCAGCTGCAGTTCTGAATTGGGACGCGACCCGCGCCTAACATTCCGCGGGCCGACTGACCCGACCTCAACTCAACCGTGCCACCACCCTATACACACACCAAGTACCTATTGATCAACAAACTGTCTGATCCGACGATACCGTGTCCAGCTCGATCAGCTGTTTAGGGGGTTTTAAGTTGGGTTTGACATTCATAACCACACTGGAGTCGCGCTTGTTGTTTCTCGAGGAAGCCTCTTCAAACAGGGGTATTTGGCTGGAGAACAGGATACCCCGAAGTGACTAGTTGACACCGAAACGGGGGTGCTTGTCTCGCCACCCCTGCGTTATTCCCGATCACAATAACCCCGCGTGAACCCCTCCTGACATGACAGTCGCGGTCCTGGCGACCACAACGACCAAGACAAAGCGTCGCGAACCGCTGGGGACGATTTCAATGGCCGCTCCGAAGACACAATCGCGTTCTGCGACCGCGTCTAGTGGGACTGGAAAGGTTAGGGAACAGAGGACTACGCGACTCAGCGCAGGTAATCAAGAACTTGAGAGCACAAATAAGCTAGGGAAGCGGCCAGCTGGTGAGTAATTTGCTGGGGGTGAACATTCGTCGAGTGAGGGATGAAACAAATATTCTAATTTGTCTCTTTAGTGGCATACGAGGAGGATGCGGAAGGGTTCCAGTTCTCTCTACTACCATCAAAGAAACCCAGGCCGTCAATCGAAGCAGTTCCCGAAAACCCTCGTTCGGACATGGAAAATGCGCCTACCAAGTCAACACCGAAAAGAGGACGGCCACGGAAAAAGCAAATAGGCGACGATATCACTTCAAGCGCGGTGCCAGCAAAGGGGAAGAGCGTGGAGCTTTCAAGCAGGAGGCCCACGAGGGGGGCTGCAAAGACTATACACACAGAACTTGAATCTGAACCGACAAACAAGATCCGCTCATCACGAGCCCGCGACAGCCCAGAGCATCAGCCTGAAACAAAGAAACCGAAGAAAGCAGGACGACCACCAAAAGCCAAACAGCAAGTGCAAGTGTCTGGGTCAAATGGATATAATTCTCCGGTGCAACCGCCAGAGGGTACAAAGGTGGCATTGCCGGTAGCCGATACTCCGGTGATTCAGCGCAATAAAGAGTTCAGAGGCGGAAAGGGTGATAAAAGCGATAAAGGGCGACGGCGAAGCAGTTTGAGTATGCGAGGACGAAGGGCTAGCTTTCTAATCGACTCAGGGACTTCAAATGGTAGGTTTCTTGGTTTGAGACGGGCTGCAAACGGCTGAATGCTGATTTTTTTTGTCTCTTTTCTCGCAGCGTTACCCCATCGAGAAGTTGGTACAGCGGATTTCTACAAGCATATCGCCGATGACGGAATCCCGGAGCCGCGAAGGATGCGCCAACTATTAATTTGGTGTGCGACTCGTGCAATAGGAGAAAAGCCCTCAGGAGGCTCAAACTCGGACGATCAAAGTGCACGCTTAGCAGGTACGTGAAACCCGTTGACTTGTGTGAGAGGTTGTTGATCTGACCTTTTCCAGCGCGTGTGATTCAAGAGGAGCTTCTTCAGGATTTCTCGAGCAACTCGGAGCTTTCGAACTGGCTCAGCCGCGAAGATTTGAATCCTCCAGCCGTGGTTATCAAGAAGCCGAACCCGCGAAACGTACAAAATACAGACAAGATCAAGGAATTGGAGGAGCATATACAGAAGTAAGTGCATCGCCGAGAGCTGTCACAAGTGTATAGGACTAACGAGCTTCTAGATTACACAAAGAAAGGCAGTCTCTTAATGCGCTTCTTCGACAGCCAGCGATCCCAACTGTCAAGGCTAAACTACAACCCGACAACAAGCAAAAAGATAAACAATCTTCACGTAAATCACAACGCGAAGAAGTCGACCCCTCTCTCCTCGATCCCTCACAACAAGCCATACTGGAATCTCTCAATCCCTCGAATCAGCCAGAAGGCGAATCATCTACCCCATCTTCAACCCGACCACCTATTACTCCATCTGCCGTCTCTGCTCAATTATCGTCCATCACTTCTGGGCTGGCACCAACGCTCGATGCCTTCGCAGCGGGTGTGCATGACATCGAACTATACCGTGCCTCCGCAGATACCGTTTCATCCCGAATATTACGCATCTGTTCACAGCGACTGGAAGAGCGCGATGCGCAGAACACGCAACGTCGTCTCGCAATGGAAGGCAACGACGACGAACACACACCACCACCGAGAATTAAGGAAGATCTGGGTCTCATTCTTGGAGCACTTAGTCGGGTGGAGAGACGATAGAAAATACTATCCATCCGCTTTTCCCGGGAGGTTCCTCCTACGTATATTGTCAGTAATTTGCTTTCTGGCGAATGGCATTCGTGTTCCTTTCTTACCTTTTCTGTTTCCTGCGTGAATTCACCATGAATGAATTGATTGATAGCGATGATTTTGATGAAAAACCCAGTCCGACATCATGGGATGGGGAAAGGCGCATTTACAGTGGCATTTCAAACGTTTGACAAGCTCGGAGTTTGGGGTTTAGGGTCTGCAATTCTGAGATATCCAGTGCTCCATGGGGTGCATTCATTGAATTCAAATTTGAGACAGAGATTCGAGATGGAGTAAATAGGTAGTCAAGCACCTAATGCATGCCATCCAGCCATTGATCTTCTACTTTCTATTATCCATATGGTAAGATTCCCTAATTTACCTGGTGGTAGTGAGCTCAGCAACAAAAATTACATAGCAAGATGTGGGTTTACTATTCTAAGATTTCTTTAAAACCATGTCCAGAAGAACACGTGGGTTACACGATTTCTACGTCATTTCTATTAACGGCCTAACAAAAGATAGCCTGGCAAAGAGAATTCGTATATGACTGAGTAGAATCGGGGGATACTGTTGTATAGGGTTGGATAGGATCAAATAGGATCAACAGTATAGAAGGCAACGTTATGATTGTGCAATAACACGCCATGTCTACAAGAGTCTAAGCTGATGTATATAACAAAATAACAAAAAAAGTCACATTGCTGCTCCGTCAATTGATGCTTTCGAAATTTCAGTGAGAAGATACACACAACAAAGCTCACACAATACAGTTTCTTCCCGTCTCCACATTCGTATATGATACTCGAGAGGAACGACCAGGAAAATAAAAGGACAGGCACGCAAAAGGAGGGCCTCAATGATTTTGGTCATAACTCGTGAGAATCGTAGTTTCTATATATGTTCGGACGAAGAGGGTCGCGGGATAGTGAGTCAATATAGACTGGGTCGGCGAGGGAAAGGGGTAAAAAGATCGAGATGACGCAGCAAAGAGCCAAGAGACTTTGCATTTGCCAGTCTCATCAAACAGAAAATAACTAGAATACAGCAATGAACTCCCGATCCTCAAATTCGGTGTTCACGTATGTGAAATGTCCAAGAGACTCGGTAGTCGAGCATGACAACAAAGCAATGTACGCAACAAAAAGAGAGATGAATGCAATAGATAGAGGTAGAGGCTTCAGGGAGCTCCACGGCTTAGAAGCTAAACAGTCCGCTTCGCTTCTTGCCTAGTGGATAAACCACCAAGGCGGCTAGGAAGAGACCAACTGTCGTTCCAATGGCAACTTGGACCATGCCATATCCGATATCGAAAACGACCCCATAGCTTTGGTTTCTGGCCTCGTCTGCTGATAGCTTCTTTGCCGCGTCGACGAATCCTTGTGTTCCATTGTTCACAACCGCATATGGAGATCGGGTCATTTCCTCCGCAGAAGTAATGCCAGATATCAGAGACCCACTGGCCGCAAGACCAGAAGGAACAAGGACAAAGATTGCCGGCAGCATTGCCGCAGCGGCGAGGCCATGCCGTAGCCGGCTGTAGAAATTTCCCATTACTCCAATGACAAACGCACCCAAAGCATTGGACACCTGGGTGTTGGAATAGAAGCGTTTGGCGCTGAAGTAGTTGGTCACGTAGCCAGCCAGAGAAATTACTATCATAATCGGCATTTGTTTCCACTTGGCGCGGTTGACGATTGCCAGACACACAGTGAATAGGATCACAAACGGAAACCGCTGCAGGTATTCATTGTGGATGGGGCTGGCGGGGCATGTATACGCTGTTGAAGCTTGAGAGTCGAGGAGACCGTAAACGGCAGTGCCAATAGTAATTCCAAACCCGAGGAAGAGGGAGTATATGATAGCATAGACCATGCGAACAGAGCCCGCAACTATACTGCGTGACTGGAGCTCTAGACTGGCACATAGTACAGTGTAGCCAGGTAGGATGAGGGCGATGGCCGACTGTGCGAGGGCAGAAAAGCAGAACAGAGGTTCCCCATGGAATTTGATGCTCCCAAAGGCACGAGCAAGGAAAGACGTCAGGACTGCGGCAGAGATCTCAAACACATTCGAATACAAACTCGATTTGGTTGACAGGATCAATTGTAACACTCCGAGGAGACATCCTAGTAGAAACGCCACGGGGATATCAACCGGTCGAGCATTGAAGGCAAAGGGCCCAACTGATGCGCTAGCACAGCCGTGGGCGAAGATGAGGAACATAATGTGGAATTTGCTCTGCTTCTTCATAACCTCATCGAGCCGGTGTATTGCCTCTTCAACCCCAATGATATCGTGAATCACCTCCTTATAAATCTCATGCACATCGGCCAGCTTACCGAGATCGATGCCTTGACTGGACCGGACGACCTTGACCTCTGTTGTATGTGTGGAGGTATCGTCAAAGGAGATGATCATGCAGCCGGGTATATACAAAAACTGGCCATCTATCTGGATGACACGAGCTGTCATGCGCATATATTCCTCCAACCGATGAGTTGGAGCGCCATATTTCATCAAAGCGCGACAAAGCTGGATCAAGTATCGTTGTCGAGACAGAAGCTCTGCAATATGAACAGTGATATGAATTTCATCCTCAAGCTGAGGCTTGGGACGTGAGCGGCCTAGGCTTGGAATGGCAGCACCACTACTGCGGGACCGCGTGAGCATGGAAAAAGGAGAGCCAGAGCGACGGGATGAGCCGGCCATGGAAATGCTGGAACGAGCGATAGACTTGTCGTACCACTTCCTTTGCGGTTTCCAAACAGAGTCCGGGGACACTTCGCGTCCACTGAACTCGGAAGAGCTCTTTTGTCGAGAGCGCCCATAACGTCCTCGGCCTTGGTTGTGGTTATAAGGAGGCTGGTCGTAAAGTTTGAGCAGCGATGAAAGAATGCCTCCGCGGTAATTTGTCGTCCGTTCAGCAGACTCGTATGAGTTCCTGTCCTCGCTGGCCGAGTCTTGGTCACTGGAGTGCAAACCGGGAGACCGAGGGCGAGTCAGAAAGTTCAGGTCTCGAGGTGACATTTGATGCACTAGATAATGGGCTTCGGAGTTGCGCGGTGTTGATCGCCCGTCTAAGATGTCCGCTTCATGTTCATCTATTAAGTGGTCGAAAAGTTGTTGTTTCTCAGGGAAGCTTATCACAGGGAATTTATCTCCATCTTCAGTCCTGTACGCCACTTCAGCCGGGTTGGTACCAATTGAAGACACTAGGCTGCACCGAGGACTTTGCTTCGGAGAATTCTGGGAACAATTGAGAAGGGATGCGAGCCTGTGGGCCCTTTCATGTGCGAAACAGATGGCCCGCCCCTTGTCATGCGCACTCTGACCCAGTTCATAATCTCCTGAAGTTCCTAGGGGATTAGTCCGGGTGTTGATCGTCAAACCAGTAACATCTACTGACGCGCTAGTGTGATCATCTTCCACCTGTGGTACCAGTTGCGAGCTTGAGGGGACTTTTTCCTGGAAACCCGGAATGTTGGCAGTGGGTAATGGTCTTTGCGGCAGCTCGGTGCCCCTTTGATCCAGTCGGAATTCGACCATGGACCCAGTAGGCTGTTCTCTCCACTCGAATTCGCTGGCTGTAAGCTTGACGCGATTTGCGCTTTTTAGAATGCCTGCATTCCGATACTTGTCCTGTGCGCTACCGTCACTGAAGCTCCGCACCTGAGACACTGGCTGGCCTTGAAAGCTATCACTGGGCAGTGATGATGTAAAGGAACGCGACCTTGATAGACTTGACGATCCTTCATCAGAGGCGCTGCGGGAGATCGGAAGGTCAAAATAACCTCCCGCCATTCTGGTGTAATCCTTTCTCTCAAATTGGCATCTACTTCCTGGTTACTCAGTAGAGCTCACAGACCCCTTCGGTGACCGAGCTCTTAAAAGCACGGGTAGTGCGGTTCATGTGTCCAGTGTCCAGGTGGTCAACTGTAACCCAGCAACAGTCAGCTATGTGAGATAACATGGGAAATCTCTTGTTTCCGGGACTTTATGAGCTTCAACAACCAACCAGATAATGAGCTCACCTCATTCAAAGCAGAAGCATAAAAACAAAAAGAGAGAAATCTGTCTCCAATACAAAAAAGAACCGACACGAACCTGCACGCCAGGTCTAGAGCTTCTCAGGAAAAGGGGGGTGTTGAGATCGGAGGAAGTCCCACCAGGAATGACTATGTCATGTGTACATAATTAGACATAGGATATTGTATCGGAAAATAAGAACATATGCAACCTCGGAGGAAGGGGTAGGGAGGAAAGAAAGCAGGCAAGGCAGATCAATATAAAAGAGACAATGGACACGAAGTCTGGGATGCAGGAGTTCCCTCTATTTACGAGCATCTTCTCGGTTAAAGACAAGACTAAAATAAAAAAGAGAAAAAAGGTCCTTGCCGGCTTTCTGGGCAGCACACGGACCGTATCAAGAAGAGTCAGAGGCCCAATGAGACTGCATTGGAGGGGGATTTCTGGATTTCTTTGGGGCCATGATTTCCCCGTGTAGCCGCAGAGGCGTCATTCCCATGCCAGGTTCTCTCACGAGTTTTGCCATTTTGCCACGATAGGTCAACCAGCTGGCAAGGTTCATGGACAAGAGTAGCGGATGGGCCGAGGTATGGGAACATGACAGCCAGAATGATGAATATATACGGTACATCCCCCTTTGGCGGGTATTGCGGGAGATTCGCACATTAGTTGAACGAGACCCGGTTCTCTAGCCTGAAAGGGAATGGATTGTCATCACAGCCGAAGTTATGGATCGTATATCGTCGAACCTCACCGAACCTTAACCGTTGGCCGAGCAGAAGATCCCCCCCCCAAAGGAGAGAGAGACAGGGGGGAACTGAGCTCATCGTCAAAAAGTCTAGGGGTTTCACAAACCCATGAGGTCCCACAAATCCGCAGAGTCAAAAAAGAATCTGATGGCCGCGTCAGGTTAAAGGGGTGTAAGTGGATACATGGTATCAGAACAGTGAAGAGTGATCTTCGGGATCAGAGATTTGAGGAAGATCAGTGGAGCAACTCTTTTTTTTTAGCGTTGAATTTACCTTCTCTATGTTGACTAAGTCATATCTCTGGTCTTATCTCTCCCCCTTCTCTTTCTATTTTCGTCTTGACGAATGAAAATGTATGAAAATGTATGAAAATGTATGAAAATGTATGAAAATGTATGAAAATGCGATTACGAACTAGTCCAAGTCATCCCTTGTGTGTCTTTGACATCATGGGAAATCACCCGACAGGCGAAACATTTCCGTCATGCAAGATACCTGCGAGATACCTGCTTTCCACTAGTTCCTGATTGATTTGGCCAGTTAGGAACCACATAGAGATCCCAATCTATGCTAATACCCACCTACATACTATAATTCAATATCAGTACTCGGGGCTTGAAGATACCTATCACACCATCGGGAAGAATTTCATAGATATTGCCCATCTCCCTTCCGACCGGGTTCTCCGATCTCCACCGAGAAGCTGATGAGTATTCATACCGCGCGTCGACACCCGGAAGACTTCCGAGACCCGACTCGGTGTTCATCCTCAGAGGGGATGTTGAAGGTTTTTGATCTGTCCCGACGATGTACAGGGTACCACAGATGAAAAGCTTGTACCAATATCCGAGCGAGCAAATTGTTTACTCTCTTTCCTTTCCCCAGTGATCAAATCGCTTCTACTACCCAGGGGAGAGTTCAACAAGCACACATGCACACATGCACTCCTAAGTGGGTTTGAAACGTCCCCCCTTTATGATCGACCAATATCCCAACCATGAGCTCCTCACTCGTCATTGTGCCACCTAAAGATGTGAGGTGCTTATCTAGGCAATGATCATTACCCAAACATGCTACCCAAAATCCTACGTCAGGGGAGCTTGGGTGGTTTAAGCTCACAGACGTGGCTGCTGACTAGTTCTGGATCCGTGCTAGTCATGGCTATCAGTCAGGGGGAGGCAACTAGGGCCCAACTTGTTTTTCGGGTGTCGCAATCGAACAGTGCTTCCAATTGAGTACCGTGCAGGGTGACTCCTAAAAACTTCTGAGGGGATATCAGATGGGACCAGGATGATCTCTTCCGAGGTGCTCGTTATCAAAGGTAAATCATACTCGGTATGATCGCCCATTTGTTTCCTTTCCTGGACTAAACCGACACGCTATCAAAACTGAAAAGGCTTGACTAAATATGTCTTACTTTACCTCTATCCCATCATTTCATGCAACAATGCGACCGCACAACCACCCGTGTCACCCTCTCCCTCCCTCTCAGTCACACGGTCCTCTTCCCCGACCAGCCGTACCGAAGATAATGGTGTAACCTGCAAGGACGCAGGGACCAATACTTAAGCTTGGACTGCAGAGCTGACATGAATACTATACTGTCTACCAAGGTATGTGAGACGCATGTGCCACGAAGGTCCGGATGCTCTGTCCTCGGGTAGACGCAGATAAAGCTGCTTTAATTCCAGGATTCTTGCATGGCCTAGGAGTAAATATTTTGTCTTCCTACAATTACCTATTGTAACGTTAGACTTTCCGTATGTCAAGAAAACGAAGATCTCATTTACATTCCTAAGCCAAACCCTATATTAAGTTATATATTTCGCCCATGGCAAGTGTCTTGTTTGGCGTAAATTTTAGCCTTTTTTTTTTATGATAATATCTTGTTGGTGTTGGTGAGTTGACTTGTGTATATATAGATCTTGTCAACTTGGGGTTGGTGCCAAGATATTTTAAGGCCGTGCTCGTACCATGGTTCTTGATATATAACGCAGGCCGCGAGATCTCACGTCCTTCGTAGAAAAACTATAGACAAGTACAGTAGCCCATATGCTCCAGGTTCAACGCCACAGAATACCAAAGTTTGTTTGATGCCGGCAAGGCAACTAGCCAAGTAGATTAAAACTGAGTATCGCTTACGGCGCTGTGTACAATCCTGCGGGATACTACCTATGCATTTATTGGGCTTCACTCTGCGGGCTAAGAGATTATTTCCTAATTCATCGCATAGAGGAACATTGAGCTACTATATTATTAACGCAGAATTAAGAGATGCCTCTGGGGTGGTAAACTGTCCCCATACGTTTCTCTTGTAGCTAAATAGCCCATGTTCGTACAGATCATTATACCTTACAGCATTAGTGCTGCGCTGATGACAGGCACCCTTATTTGAGTCTCAGACATCAGCCTCACTACTCATGAGCCTAAGAAAGGAGGATTATGAATCCGGTGGAATAGTTGTTTGACACCTTTGAATTCAAAATTACCTTCCGTACTCTCGCCATCCAAGATGTCCAGGTATCCTCTCCCCTCGTCGACAAGTATTTCCCTCCCCCCAACCTCACCCCGCCCTTGCCACCGTCTCGCTGCAGTGCTTCGAGATACACATCCCTTTGCGGCTCGACCGGCGAGATACGATGCCCTGCCGCACTAATGAGGAGTACTGCAGTCTTCTCTATAAACCGCACCAGCTCAAACGAAGAAAGACATTGTGGGTGGTGTTCACCTACGTCATTCAGTTAGGGGGAGACGAACTGTGGGTAGAAAAGACGGGTTTCTCACGCCGGGAGTCATGATCCCTGCTAAGCTCTTTCCGGACGACGAGGCTAGGCAGAAGTGGCCCCGGAGGGTGACTCCATCCGGGGCCTTGAATTCGACTTGTTTGCACTGCAACATGGTATAGAATAATGATTCAACGGTTTTCTCGAGCAGAAATGATGAGGTATGAATTTACTATATGTTGTGTTGAGATCATTGCCTGGTATCGTTGCATCATTGAAACCATGTACAAAAGACTTGCACGACATTTCCAATTAAACACACCAACCGGAGTACTGCTGATGCCATGAGATTACATAGCCCGAAATTCGCACTAGGCCGCTCCATAAACTACAAGCTCACCCGCTAGTCCCTCGTAGTGCTAGACAGGGGCCCATTCCAAGTCACTTTTTCAATTGTCACCCTGAGGCCCTGATTTCAAAGCATCCAGCTAATAGGACATAATTATTATCAATCGTCTATAGGACTACCCTTCAACACCTGCCATAGGTGGCTATTTAAAGGCGACTGCAATCATGAAGTGAGCTCCTCATTCTCTCTCCATCCGATTTACCATTGATATGATCGCAACACTGCCATATACAACTCCCAAATCCTTCTATCATCCATATACCCACCATGACTGTTTGCGACAACACTGTGGTTCTCGTTACCGGCACCAGTCGAGGCAAGTCCTGCCTAGAGCCTTATTGGGGATCGAGCTGAACGAAAACAGGAATCGGACGGACGTTGGTGGAAACCTTTCTGCTCCGACCTAAGCACACCGTTATTGCCAGTGTTCGCGACACAGCTGCAGACTACGTCAAGGAGCTAGAGGCCTTGTCCAAGGCTGATGGCTCGCGTCTTCAGCTAGTAAAGATTGAAAGCAGCAACTCGGGTGACCCAGCGGCGGCCATTAAGGATCTCACGGACATCGACCACATCGATGTGGTGGTGGCTAATGCCGGCGGAGCCGGCGAGAAGGGCGTCATCCCCTTGGACGTGGTGAGCCCCGAGATCATGACCGACGTGTTTACCGTGAATGCGCTCGGACCCCTAGCCCTATACCAGGCCGTCAAGCCTTTGCTGGAGAAGTCCCACGCCCCCAAGTGGGTGTCGGTCACTAGTGCCGCCGGCTCGATTGGCCGGCTTGAGGTTACATCGCTCCGGCGTACGGGATCGCTAAGGCGGGGTTGAACTGGATCACTACGTAAGATGCTGCCAGCTTTAGCCTACTCTGGCTGGGAAAAGAATCGGCTAACTCTGGACGTGTAGTGCCATTCACAGCGCCAACAAGGACTTCATCGCATTTGCCGTGCACCCCGGGTGAGCCACTGGAGACACTATCCGGATAGGAGACAGTAGCTGACTATCTGACAGCCTCGTGCAAACGGAGAGCGGTAACAAGAGTGCCCGGGCGATGGGCCTTCCCCAGGCCCCCGACTCCCAGCGACGGAGTGTCGATTCCATTCTAGGCCTGGTACGTGATGCCCTTCCCTATCTAGAAGAATGAAGGATGTAGACTAACTCGTGCAGATTGATAATGCGACTAGGGAGACGACATCGGGAAAGTTCTTCAACGTGATTGATGGCACAGAGATCCCGTGGTAGAGGTTAGCCTCCTGCCTCACAGTGCCTATCTCTGTCATCCATAGATTGTCTATTATGATAATATTTTGAATATGTCGACATCTGAACCTTGGAAGATGTTACTTTTTCATGTCTGAAGTATCAGGTCTTTGCCCTAGTATTTAGTAGGATTACACGTTTGAATATTATAGGCCATGGAAAGTCCCCTGTGTTGCTGCATTAGTCTGACGCAAGAGAGTCTCCGCACTTGTTATTGGAGTCCACAAAGTAAACGGGTGCGGAGCCATGTTGTAGTCATACCAAGCGCCTACCATACCTGTGTTGGTGTGCCCCAGTCAGTCTGTCAGCGATACATTTGGAAATTAGGTACATTTTGTATAGCGTGCCCGTATAGAAGGTACACAGATAAGTAAACAGTATGCAGAATTCACTTCCCCTACCAATAACAGCTGTTGGGATGTGAGTCCCAGCGGATTCTATAACCGCTTCTGATTTTGCATTTATACAAAAGGTGTAAATAGAAACCGAAATAGTTATGCAACTAGTCCGGGCTGGCAGCCACCTCCCCAATAATCAGCATACAACCCGGCTCTGTAGCTCTGTAGCCACCAGACTAAGCATGAGGTACATAGTGCATGAAGACAACAGATCTTTGAATGTGGTGTAGCGAGATCCACGCTACCTCGTCTCCCATTTTGATATAAAACTCACGACCAGTCATGGTGACCTTTGATAGCCTTTTGATCTATGTTTTATCCCTTCGTTACTTTCTAGTCACAGTTTAAACACCGAACCTAGAGGTATCCATCACAGAAGACGCATTTTCTACGTATTACTTTCGAGTGGTACCTACCTAGGATTCTTCAACAGACCAAGTAACCCGGCGTTCCACGTGGGTGATTGTAGGACAACATCAGGATTACCGTAGGACCTAAGAAGCATAACTGCATAATCCGAATAAGTCTTGACCAAAAAAAAACCACTTAGATACTAGATACGTTCATGGAGTATGATCAACATAGCCAAAACTAGATAATTCAAACAAGATCGGACATTTACTAAGATATGTATTCACCAAGGTCATCTGAGCTCAAAGAATGCATTGGGGAGAGCAGCCTGTACATAACCAGATGTACACCAAAAGCCAAGCAGAGAAGAGAAGAGAAGACAACTTGCCATCGCAGGTGCCTCTCTTCCCAGTCTCAAGCTCATCCTGTCTTGTCCGAGAAAATAGAGCCGGTCTGCCCAGCCTCGGCTGTAATGAAGCTAAGTGGCAAAATGATGGAGAACGTAGTGGATAAAGATGAAGATAAGCAAAAAGGAAACAAATAAGAATAGAGTCATTTCAGACCAATCAAGGTCTTTCGTCACAAAAGCATAAGCTTGGCATGGGTTGCCAGCAATAAAGGAATGGTAGAGGGTCAGCCGCTGTCGAGACCCCCTTGATCAGGACCCGATAGACCAGGAAAGACAAAAGGCCAACCCATTTGGCAAAAAAGAAAAACATAAAAAGAAAAGGTCATACGTCACTGTCACGTGGTGTTCGGCATTACATGAAGGGTGTCTTGCGTTTTTCAGCGCTGGACAACACTAGCATCGGCGTCTTGCGCCGTTCTGGTGCCTGGACTGCCGGCCCCTGGCCAGCAACAACATCCGCCACTGATGGCGACGAGGTGCCACTGGTACTAGGCGAGTGAGCATAGTCCCCGCGAGGATCAACAAACTTGGAGTAAAAGTAGCCACCGTCCTCGCTAGTCGGGGTGGCGCTGTGGAAGGGACTATCCGGAGACTTGCGGTCCCGGCCAGATTTCTCCCTTCTCTCGGACCCAATGGCACCATTAGCAACTGCCCGCAGGCTGCCTAGGCTAGGCTTGCTGGAGAGGCTTCCGCCGCTGCGCACGGTGGCATCATCGCCATCCGAGAAGGTAAACTCTTTCTCACTCGCAGGGGTGTTAGTGCCTCCACTACTATGGTATCCAAGACTGCGTGTGTCGCCACGACGCTCAATCCCTGCGCGGACAAGATTGTGAACAGCACGACGTCGCTGACGGGTCGCAAAGTTCTTGCTACCTTCGTGCTTGGAGGTGGGCTTGGCAACGAGATCCTCAAGCGAAGGGGGGCCACGGGGCTGACGCATCGGATGCTCACCAGCACGACTTTGACCGGGTCCAAATGTTCCAGTGGCCGGTGTCGGCGGTAGGGCTGCGGACCTAGGGCCGGGTCCCACATTGGCCTTGGTAGTATCAATGTTTGTCTTGATAGTTGGGTTAAACGAAAGGTTCTTGCGGTGGCCTCGGCGGAGTGTATTCACAGACGATTCGTGGGGAGGAGAGGGACTGCCAACCGGGGGGGAAATTGGTTGTGGGAATTGCATGGGAGATTGCGTGGAGTCCGCAGGAGGAGAGATCTCTGCACGGAACTGGGGAACTTGCTGGCCAATATGGGACTGAGTATCTTGATAGAACTGTTGCTGGCGTTCTTCCTGGGAGTTGTTGTCCATGATGTAGCTTTGTTGACCAGTCAGAGGATTGTAGACGCAGAACATTCCAGGTTGGCCAGGAACCGGCTGCACAATGGGCTGAACGCCTTGCTGGAGCTGCTGTTGATAAAATCCCATGCCAGGGATGGAGAGCGAAGGAACCTGTTGCTGCCGAGGAAGGGACATTCCAAGGTTGAGGCCTTGAAATTGCTGAGCTGCAGCAGTGACACTGATCAACTGCTGCTGCAGGCGTTGCTGCTGCGCAGCAAGGAACAGATTGGTTGACATCAATTCTGCGTACATGTTCTCATCGATTGGAATATCGCCACCGGCCATCTCAAGCGTCGGAGGTGCAAGTACCTGCTCCGGCATAGTGTACATCATGCGGTTGTGCTGCGAGTTGTTGCGGTGCGAGTTCGCGTTCTGATTCGTGGTGTAATTGTGCTGTGGGAATCCAGTTCCGGTCGCAGTTTGTGGGACCCGGTCGGCTCCTCGGTTGGAATACCCAGTGAATCGTGCACCCTCCATTCCACCCCGCTGCTGATGTTCAGAGGGGATTGTGGCAGACTTGGGAGCAGTGCGCAGTCCAGCCAAAAGATGAGAGCGACTGGTACGCGGAGTGGAGACAGATGCCGACGTTTGGGACTCGTCGATGGTAGCAACCTGGGGAGGCATGCTCAAGCGTTTGATGTGAGAGCCTTTGCCGCGCGAGGCGAAGCCAGAGCCCGGTACCCCCAGGGAATTGCCATTATTGAAGGAAGAATTGTAAGACATTTGAGCAAGACCGCCAGCGTCCATACTCGTATTCGTTTGGTAGAGGTGGATTGTAGGTATGTGCAATAGAATGCAAGCGAGACAAGTGGTATCTTTGGCGTCCGGATTTGACGTGAGCGTTTGGGGTCAACCACAAAGCTGAACTCACTTCCCGGCGATTAAGGAATTATGGTGTCTATGCAATACGTTGGGATAAGTCTGCAAGATCGGAATTCAACGACCGAAAAAGAAAGCGTAGACGCGAGTGTCAGGGTTTCTGTATCCAGAAACTGGTCAGTAAGATCCAACAGATGGGACAGAAGGCAATAACACGTACCAATCACAGGTGAAGATATGCAAAGCGAGCGAGTGGCTAGCAATAAAGATAGCAGATGATAGAAGAACCAAGCTGTACAAGGACTTGCTAGGTTTTGAAAGTCGCAAACCCGAGGAAGAGGTCTCGAGGAAGCCGAGGTCGAGGTGATTTGTTGACAGACACCTCGAGAGGAAAAAGAAAAAGGAAATTAAGAGGATATTTTTGAGAAGAAGCCACGCGTGAAGCAAGACCACGAAGAAAGGATAAGATGTCCGGGGGAAATGCTCTGCAAATCCCAGCCGAATAAAAAAAAAAAAAAAAAAAAAGAGAGAGTAGTTCACGCGATGCCGAAGATCGAGGATCGAAGACTTGGAGGTTAGAACACTGAAAGTCGCGACCAAACAACCCAGTGCTGCGGAATAACCGAGGCGAAAGCAAGTTCAGGGATCCGAAGAGATGAACTGAAGCAATCAAAAAATGTAATGAATTCGGGTCTCGGCCAAAACACAACGTTTTTCCTCAGGGGGGCGGAACTAATCGGGACTATTTGCAAAGTGGATAAATGCTTTTTTGAGGGTTTTTTTCCAGGAAACGAGAAGAGCTGCAGAGAAAGAAGGAATGCAGAGGGGAAAAGGAAAAGAAAGAATCGAAGATTAGATGGAGGGTTGGATGTGAGAGAAGAAGAAGAGAGAGATTGATGAAGGATGGCCTAGGCGGGGATTGCTGCCTGGCCTGTAAGGCGACAACCGAACACAACAGGCCCAAAAGGGTACTAGCGTCTTTTCTCCAGACACAATTGCTTTGAGAGAGAATATGAACGGAATATTAAGGCTCACTTTGACGTCTTCTTTTATTCTGTTTCTCATATGTGGGCAAAAGGGTAATTCAAGCCTTTTCAGGTTTACCTATCCTCTAGGTAATATCCGATTCTACTGCCTGACTGCCTGATCATAGCTGACAACATCACAGAAGAAGGACCCATTGGGAAGATCTGACTGGCTCGTCCTGTTGACCAATAAGCAACACACTCGAACCTGAAGTGATCCCCCGTCACATCCCCAGCCAAATCATTGGCTGTTGGCCACTAGCGGCGCGACGTGGCTGCCATCTACGCGTGACAATGCCCCTAGAGCCGCTCGTCGCTGATGCCAAGCTGCCGGTGCCAGCCAATGGGTTTGCCCTGGACTTGTTTGCTTCGAGCTCATAACTCAATCGGATCTCATTATGATCATTGTTACAGCCCTGTCCATCATATGCTGCGATGACGATAAATACCGGAAACTAGTTTAGTGTGTCTCTTCAGGAGAACGATGATGCTTTCTAATGTGATGCTTTTGCACATAGTTATCATGTGATCTTATTATAGAAACGACCACCTTCCCCTGAATTATGAAACAGGCAGAGAAAAGGCCGTGTGCTTGTCGCTATGCCCAAACCAAACGACGTCTTCGGCAACTTGAAATTGGCTTCATGGATGCCTAGGGGAAATTCATGGATTTCTTAATCAGGGAAAGAGCTGGCTCTACTACGGTATAAAATGCGCGACGACAATGATGAACTCGCACTGTTTCGTACTTCGGGAATTATATATAGAACACGATGATAAGAGCCCCGTGCTATGGCCAGGTGGAATCGCACAGACCAGGAAACTGCCCAGTGAGATCGTCGGCTAGCGTGATTACGATCTACAACGATTCAAGATGTGGATTATCAACTGTAGAATTTCACACAAGCGCTGGTATAAACCACGCTTTTTGCCACCTTAACTAAATGAATCATACATGTATAACATACATCTCAGCCCCTCCTGGGTCGATATTTCGCATTGCGCTCGTTCGGGAACTGCTGTCCCCCACATTGTATGTACAATATGCAAACACTTGTATGGTCTGTACAGACGCACATGACAAGGAGTTTGGCAGCATGTGCTTGCATTGTCTGCTTGTGGATCATAATGCCAGTCAGATAAATAATGACACCCAAAATCACAACTAGATGTGAGTTGTTGATGAGCCGTGAGAACATGAAGAAAAGGTAAAATAATGGATAAGAAGAAAAGAAAAGGAAGACGAAGATGCGGGGTATCTGCTGGCTGAGATGGTGTGCCAGAGGAAGAAAATCAATGAGTCGTGAAATATAATCAAACATCGAGTCCATGGGTGCGATCTCGAGGAACTTAAGCATCCACTGGGACACCGGTTGCAGGAAGAGTGGCCGACTCATTCTGGGATGGTAATCGTCGGTGAACTAGTTCGGGAGTGGTGCCCTTGCCATTCATTCGGTCAAATTCCAACGTTTCAGCCAATTCCGCAGCCATAGGGTCCAGGTCTTCTTCTTTGAGTCCGGTCGCCAAGGCCACCAGCTTGCGGTGCATATCGAACTTGGTGCTCACACCCGCATCCGCTGTTTGTTGGGCTAAATCCTTAATAGCATTGCGACGTATCTTCTGCGCAGAGCAGAGCTCTTGAGCGAGTCGATACCGAGCCATTAGTTCGTCTTGCTCAAGAGACGCCGGGGTAGGTTTAGGTACCTCCGTAATAGCAAACTGTTCGGCCAACCGAGCATGTTGGATTTGCTCAAGAAGCGACTCATAGCTTGCCCGCAATTTTTCATATCGACCAGCTTGGTCATCGTTGCGCTCATGCTCGGCCTCCTTAGCTGCCAATGCAGAGAGCTGCTTCTGAATTTTCTGACGGTCGGATTCCAATTGCTCGTGTAACGCTTCGGGATTAGCGACATCATTGGAATCTTGCTGATTGATCTTTGAGTTTCCATAGGTCACGGCAAGCTTTTTATTAGCCTCGGCCATGATTGTCCCAATCTTGGAGAGGAGCTCAGATGTTGCGGGGGCATCCGGGATTGGAGCAACGGACTGTGGATCTGCGCCCACAAGACCAGCTGCTTCAGCATCCATATGTTCATTAGCCATGGTGACGGAAGATGGTGCCGGCGGGATGTCATGGTCATGATGTTGAGAACGCTGTGCGATACTGCTAGCAGTTTCGCCTTTATTATTCACGAGATCGCCAGCGCGGTGACAATGCACAAGAAGGATGTTCACCAGGCGAAACGCGCCGTTGCGGGCAGCAACCAAGACAGCGGTATCTCCATTCTGATCCTGACATGACAACAACATCTGGATCTCATCTTGCGAGCATGTCTTGCACAACTTATCGAGAAGTATTTCGCAATAATAACGTGAGCTCTTCCACTTTCCCTTGCTTCGAGTATTTTCTGCAATGTGATGGAAGATAGTGGCACCGAACCAGTCTCGGAACGAGACAGTGTCCAAAAGCATATCTAAGAGAGTCGGAAACGTTCTCTTTTCGTAATTATTGGTAAACAGAACAGCTCGGACGAGCGGGGTCTCTTCATGCTCCGAAAGTGCCTTGACATTAGCCCCTTTGTGCAGAAGATCTTGCACAATTCCCAAGTCACCCATTGCACATGCCCAGTGGAGTGCTGTGTTCCCCGAATCATCAATGGCTCGATCGACTTGGAAATGAGCAGGTGGTTCGGGAGGAGGAATGCGTGTTGCCTCGGGTGCATCACCCACAGTCATGAAATAGTCTAGAAGTTGATCGCCGTAGATTATGTGTTCTTGCTCGCTGATGGACATAGCGGTTGCCTCGTCCACTCCACGCTTCCGCTTCCGTCCGCCATGTGACATTTGGAGCATATCCTCGTCTGCGACCATTGATGATGATTCAATTGTGGCGTGCCCAATTGACTCGTTATCGTCGAACCCTGCATTCATTTCATAGTGATCTTGTGGAATGGTTGGGGGACCCATGCTGCGCTGAGGTTGAACAACATTCAGGCTCTCTGAAGCTGCTACCGCTGCAGCAGCAGCGGCGGCAGCGGCAGCACGGTTTGCGGCGGCCGATTTCCTCGGTGCTCTAGGTTTGGATGGAGCTGATGTGTGCTTCGGCGCTGGTGGTGGACTGTGGTCTCCAGCAACATAATCGAAAATCGGGGCTAGTTTTGTAAGGATGTTGTTGCGTTCCGCAAGCTGTCGGCCTTCTGGAAGTGGGATCCATGTTCCTGCGAGCATTACCTGTCAGTAACTTGAAGTTTTTCATCGGGCCTCATAGATCCCAAGACATACCCTGGTATTTGCCATAGCCTCCCTGGACTTTCTCATGTACCCCCTTCTGGACCTCACGTTCAAGGATGCGCGTTCGTGCAGGCTTATCAAACCCTGCAGCTTTGAGAATGTGTGTTGCATTGACCCAATCGTCCCCTCGCCTTCTCATGACACTGTCAGTGTCGAGCTTGAACTCGTACACGGGGACCTAGAAGTGAGACTGTCAGCTATACTCGTAGTACACAGAAAATAATCCCATGCTGGGGAGGCGAAATTGTCCAATTATAAGTATACTTACACTGCTGTAAGTAGCAGAGTAGATGGTGTCCATCCCCGCCATAATGTGCGTCGCCGTTGGCCGTTGCAATTCAGTAGGTTCCCGAAGAGCGATATCGCACGCTGAAGCCGAAACGTCACCCCTAGAAGATCCACAAGTTGATCGGTTTAGGAGTTCTGCGGAACTCGATGCATTGCACGCAATAAAAATCCGGACCGAGAACACTGAGATACGATACGGTGGAGCTGGGGGTGGCCTTCCAAATACGCGCTGGACGCGTAAAGTGCGCACTAGGCCCATTTCGGTGCGCTGTCATGTGATTTTGTGTCATGTGACCAATATCGGGCCAGCAGGAACCTCAAACGAGCGGGAATCGCCAACCACGCCGTGCTGCTTCTGTTTCCCCGCTCCTTGCCTTTCCACCCCTCAATTCTTGACAAAATGACTGTCATCGAATCAGTTAAAAGTGCCGTTGGCCTTTCGGAGACCTCCGGTAAGATTCTAAGGCCATTGATCAACAACCAAAAGCTCTAGCGGGAAAGTTGACCAGAATTCTAGCAACCCGCCAGGAAATGTCGGAAGCGCGTCTTCCCATGCAATACAGAGATTCATGTGCACACCTTCTGATCCCGTTGAACCGATGCCGGCAAGCAGAGTACTACCTTCCCTGGAAGTGCGAGGTACGAGGTCACTCATTTTGATGCTCCAACCGAACCCGATTCGACCAGAGCGCTTCCCAGAGCTAGTCAACTAATATAATTCTCTTCTTTTCCTTTAGGATGAGCGACACTCATACGAGAAGTGCCAGTACGAAGAGTTTAAGAAGCGTGTGGCCAAGATGGACGAGCTGCGTGCCGCCAAGGACGGCGCCCGGAGCAACTGAATTGTAGGACTGTTGGTATGCGCGGCCGGTGCTGCTGCTGAAGCAGCAGGAAATGTAAATAAGAGATATACCGAAACTGCTTATGGATTGCCTTTTGGCGTTGGGACCTTACATCAAAATCGGCCACTTTATTTTCTTCGCCTATCTGGACAACAATTGCGTCCGCAACTTGATGCTCTGTTTGACATTGGCTAGATTGTTACCTAGCATGTTCCTGAGAGCTTCTCGGGTCAAGCATATGTCCATGGACAACTTGTCATTTGGCATAGCTTGAGCGCATGTAAGCAGCTCGTATAGTAGATCGCTTATATGCAAAAAGAACTATATCACCCTAGGGGTTTGGTTAATGAACCCCTCGGAGTTCCTTGATGATAAAAGACACTAAGGTTGTATAGTTCTTTTAGTGAACTTAGACTGCACCGCTGCTCTCTACGCAAACATGCATTATTATGGCCTACCAATTTCCATATATCTCCCCCTCTGCTTACCTATGTAGACAAACCCCCTGGCCTATGACCGAAGCATGTTGCCAAATTAAACACCACCTAGTCAGTCCTGCATCCAATGATCGTTTGCAGCTTTATAGGCCTAAGCTTTATAGGCTTAAGCGGCAAGTTCTATTGGCTGTATTGCTGCCGATTGGTGTATGCATGATATTTACACTAGGTAGAGTAGGTATGATAGTATGATAGTTAAGCACGTGGATGAACAAGCCACAAAACTAGCCCTCTATATAGCTATTGATGAAGAGCTACCCGGATATTATCTCCTTGGGTGAATATGCCATAGTTAACTAACTAGTTATAACATTTCATATAACGTAATACCTGCAAGTTTCATGCTGTCGTCATCAATCATGCCATATCAATCAGTTCTCCTTATATCTAGGTACTATCTTCCTACCTATCCTGTAGGTACTCTCTCCGTAGTTTAACCTAGTGTATAGAGAACTGAACATCATTCTAGTTCATTTTGGCATTAGCTACTAACTATGATATCTATGACTTTATTTTCCCTTTATACCTACATATATATATAACGCTCGGGCCAATGATAGACGCTCCTATGGTAGATCCTTGAAGACGCAAGTGCAAGGTCTCATTTCACCACCGCTATATCACTACCTCAAGTTGTTTTCTATACCAGGACACTCCATGTTCAAATATTTCCCAAATTGAGCCAGTTGAGAACCTATATAAAAAGGCTTGATGGTATTGACCTTGGAAGCCTCGAGATATCCTCGGGATTGTGCCCAGGTGACAAATCATGATTAATAATACCAAAGTTTCGTAAGGTGGGCAGGGAAATAAAACTCCCGCCGTTATCGCCGCCCCCGCCAGAAAATCGGCTGGTCTCCGAAAAGTCGACCCCCCTCATTGCGATTTACCCAGGAATTACAGAGAATCAATTAGAAAAGGGACTATGCGCAGGTCTATGTCTCTTTGATTACTCTTTCTTCGACCCTTGGCTTTCCTATTCACTCTGTGATTGTCTTCTCTCTTCTATCCTATACTTGTGTCTGGGCATTTCGTGTTTGCCAGCCTGAGGCATCTCCGACACAATGGGACTTCTGTATGTATCTTGAGAGTCTTGATCTACTGTTTGGAATCCCTCTAATCTCAAGCAGAGCACTTGGAACAGCGCTGGAATGGTCGGAAGCCAAGAAAAAGGCGGGCCAGGTGCGCCAGTGGGGTATCGAGGTATGCCGCTTATGTTCGATCCGTCTAGATCGGCAACGAAACAACCTCGAGGTGTCTGACTTGATTAGCAATTACTTGCCAATTGGCGCAGGGCACGAGGCAAAGAACGCGATGCTCTTCTTTGGGGCGACGAGGTATGTTGTTCTGGCCCGCATAGTGTTACCCGGTCGCAATTTGCTAATCAATACCCCTCTATGATAGGTTGAGTACCTTGTGGTAGCTCTCGACGACCCGGCGAAGAAAGCACGGTTATCTCTAGCCCAGGCTGAGATTCTGAAATCACTTGCAAGAGACGAGGAGTTATGGAAGTCTGGTTCCGGCAAGGGCAGTGAAACTAGGGACCAGTGAGTGTGATTTGATGTCCAACAGGAACTAGCATATCTGACACCACCCAGTGACGGGGAGGAGCCGCCTCATTTCCACCCCGAATTTGGAAGGTTCATGTTGGAGGCTACTCCTGGACAGCCTTGGGGAATCGGGTTTAAAGACCTACTCAAGGTGGAGTCCAATATGAAGTGGAGGTGAGCTCTTTCAGCAACACAACTTTACCTGAAACATGCTAACAGCCTCCAAGACGAGAAGTTGCGAAGGCACATATGGCTCCGAATGAAGTCCCCATCACCCTAACAACTTTCCCTCGGCTGGGAACCAATGATGACTATATCCAGCCATATTATCCTCCGTCTGGACCAGCTCTCCGCTCGCAGTTTGTTCCTGATGAGATTGCCAACCCCCATATCCGATTCCCTACTCTGGCTGCCAACATTCGATCCCGAAGAGGTCGCAAGGTCGAACTTAATGTACCTGTTTTCCACGACACAAATACGCCTAAGCCATTTAAGGATCCAACAGTTAACTACGACCTTCATAATTGGCCCGAGGATGACGACGTCCGCAACGGTGCAGCCAAAGACGATCATGTTTACATGGACGCCATGGCATTCGGAATGGGCAGCTGTTGCTTGCAGATCACCTTCCAAGCAAAGAATATGACAGAGGGCAGAAGACTTTATGATCAGCTGAGTCCTTTGGGACCCATTCTTTTGGCCCTGACCGCCGCTACACCCATCTATAAAGGTTTCCTAGTGGACACAGATGTGCGATGGAACCAAATTGGCAATGCAGTCGATGACAGGACACCCGAGGAACTTGGTGAAGCTGTAAGTTTTCCGGGATGATACCTTTGGCTTACCGAACTAACATCTCGAAGCCTCTCAAGAACGACCGGTGGAGAATTCCCAAGTCGCGATATGCTTCTAATTCGACCTATATCTCTCAGGATCCTCGTCTCCGGAAAGAATACTTCGATCCTGATCTAGTTGTTGATGAGGATATTAAGAAACGCCTTATGGACGGGGGAATGGACGACCTACTTGCGACGCATTTTGCACACTTGTTTATCCGTGATCCCCTGGTCATTTTCTCCGAGGACCTCGAAGAACTGGACCTTAGCAAGAGTGACCACTTTGAGAATTTGCAGTCCACTAATTGGCAGCACATGCGATTCAAGCCGCCGCCACCTGATAAAGATGATATTGGTTGGAGAGTTGAGTTCCGGTCTATGGAGATTCAAATCACAGATTTCGAGAACGCCGCATTTAGCATTTTCATCGTCCTCATCACTCGTGCCATCCTGAGCTTCGATCTCAACTTCTACATCCCGATCCAGCGTACTACTGAGAATATGGAGACGGCACATGCTCGCAACGCTGTTCTTGATCGGAAGTTCTGGTTCCGCAAGGACCCCTTCCCTCGCAGGGTGCCCAGAAGCGCACAGCAGTCAACCAACGGCAGCACCTTCTCATCTACGACATCGTCGGCTGTGAATACTCCGCCTCCATCGCCTCCTCTTGGCCCCGTTGAGACAGAGTTTGATCTTATGACCATCGACGACATTGTGAATGGATGCGCAGACGGATCGTTCCCGGGTCTCATCCCGCTTGTGGAGTCCTACCTTAACAGCGTCAATGTTGACGTTGAGACGAGGTGTTTCCTGGCCAGCTATCTTGATCTAATCCGGAAGCGAGCCGATGGAACTCTTTGGACCGGGGCTCGTTGGATGCGTGAGTTTGTAGCCAAGCATCCTAGCTACAAGCAGGACAGTGTTGTGTCTGAGGAGATCACATACGATCTAGTGAAGGCCGTTGAGGAAATGACTGTCAAAGAAGGCAAAAAGGGATCAGTCGGATGGGAACTTCTCCGAGGCAAAAAGATCTAGATAAGATGCATCTACACACACCCACACACAACTAGATATCCAGAGTGTGAGCATGTATAGCGGAAACTGGAAACAATTTGCACATATCCATAACAATTACGAGGCAGCCATCCTTGTCACAGCATCTGATGAATCTTAATTTTCTCACTTCCCAAGTGTCTCCAACCAAAGTACTCATTCCAGCAGCATTTCCTCCTCAGTCGGCAACCGACACGAGTCCGCCAGCCCAGTCACCTTCCATTCGCCGTTGAGTTTATGCAAAACAAAAAGTTCAACACCAACATGGTCCACAACTCCGTTGATCTTCGCCCGGAATGGCGCCCACACAGCGGCCAAGTTCAAGCTTCCTGTTTCGTGCACCTTCACCTCAGGATCCCAGATGCGCTCATCGATGTCGTCTTTTAGCCCAGCGACATGTTCAACGAACGAACCAATCGTACAGAAGCGCAGGGAAGTTGGAGATGGAGGTGAAAGTGTCATCCCCCCTGCTCTGACACAGTGTTTCTCGAAATCGGCTCGCGATTTGGTGCTCAGTGCTGCGAGGAAACCTTGCGTGGCTGCGATAATGGCGGCTGTTTCCTCGGATTCTAATTGGATTGCTGCCCCGGTTCGAGATCGATTTGGTAATGACCAGCACATTGCTGATGGCATGATTTAGTTGGAGGAAAGCATCAAGTCATCAAATTATCATTATGGTGGGATACCGTCTTGTTATATCCTCTATCTCCGCTAGTTTTCAAAAGCAAATTCGATGTACATGTGTACCTACGTATGTATACCTCACTACTATTCGGATCACAGCTGTTACCGTTACAGTGTCCATCGGTGTGTTGTTTTGGTCTGTTACACTTTGTCTAACTTTGTTCGATTTCAGGATTTCAGGAACCCTGCCATCTTGCTGTTATACAAGGGTAAGTCCTTGCTGTCACACAACGATTTATCTGGTGTCTGGTCCGATTTTCATCCTACAATGTTCCCCTGTCGACTATTTTCGTTGAACTTGATTCTTGTGTTACTATCAGGGGCATGTGGCAGCTACTAGGCTATCAGTCCCAATGATGATATACTGCGTTTTATATCTCCTTTTACTACATTGCGAATCTATAAATCTTAAGACTCCCTCACCTCAGAAGTCGGCTCAAAAACTTCGGTTAATCCTCGGGGTGATTAATATGGCCTATGACCAAAACAGACAATCGTCCGTCAAAGTTTGGAGAAAATGGGCCATGAAACTAAATACCCCAGAACATCTTGAAGGGATATTGGTGGATAAACAGGATTACGCCATTCCACCTCTCCACTTCTTGTCATATTCCGAATACTACTCCAATAGCCTATTATTCCCATTTGCTATGTCTCTTGTTTTGCTACATGACTGGAAAACATATCAGCCGTTCACATCTCCCGAATGTCGATCACAGACCATTTGAGCGATTATGGGGTTTCCCCGCAACACGGACGTCCTCGAACTGCCGGGGGTGATAGTATGTATGGTACTATAAAAGAAATCGAAACGACACACAATGGAGGGACTAGAGTGGAGAAGAGTGTGTCCATCTATATCATTATGATTGGATTGTTGACCGGCTTTCTACTATGGACAGCAGTCCATGCTGTCCCTACAAAATCATCTCCCACAGTGGTAGTGCGCAATGGAACTTATACTGGGGTTCGAAGCTCAACCTACAACCAGGATTTCTTCCTGGGTATGCCTTATGCCCAGCAGCCAGTGGGGAATTTGCGCTTTACTGTGCCTCAGTCATTGAATACGAGTTGGGATGATACTCGCGATGCGACACATTACTCGGATATTTGTGTTGGATATGGAGTAAGTACAATTCTTTCGGTTGTGTTCCAAGATGATTCTTACCAATAGGAAAATTAGACGGATTCGATTTGGTATCCTCAATCAGAGGCATGTCTTACCCTAAACGTAATCCGGGGTTCATCTGCCAATGAAGACTCGAAACTTCCTGTTGGAGTGTGGATTCATGGTGGTGGGTTTTATCAAGGCTCTGGGGCTGATGAGCGTTACAACATGTCTGCAATTGTGGAAAACTCATATAAGATCGGTACGGATCTCGCGCTGTCTTTAGATACTTGGAAGCCTAGTCTAACTAGAATATTAAGGCAAACCGTTCATCGCTGTCACGCTGAACTATAGACTGTCGGCATGGGGCTTTATAAGCTCTAGTCAAGTCTCCGGCAGCGGAAACACCAATCTTGGATTGAGAGATCAGAGGCTGGCGCTTCAATGGGTCCAGGAAAACATCGGCGCATTTGGTGGCGACCCCAACAAAGTCACCATATGGGGCGAGTCAGCAGGTGCCATGTCAGTGGGATATCACCTTACAGCATACAACGGACGAGATGACAAGCTGTTTCGGGCTGGCATCATGCAGTCTGGGGGTTCAATAACCGCCAGTCCAGGAAATTATACGACGTTCCAATCAAAGTACAACACATTGGCCTTCAAGGTAGGCTGCTCGGACGTCGTGGATTCATTGCAGTGCCTTCGTGAAGTACCATTTGAGACGATTAACACTGTTCTAAACGGCACGGAGGGCGCCTCCGATTACAACTTCTCGCCGGTCGTGGACGGGGACTTCATTCGGAACTGGGGTAGTATTCAATTGAACACGCATGCATTCGTGAAAGTTCCCATCCTTGCCGGCACCAACACGGATGAAGGAACAGCATTCGGGCCTACGGGAATCAACACCACAGAGCAATGGTATCAATTCTTAACGAGTATGTATACAAATCTACTACACTATACCAACCCAGCAGCTAACCCATCCAGACGGCGGGTTGAACTTCCAAACACCCCCTTCTGTAGCCAAGCACATCCTCGAAGTTTACCCCGACGATCCATCGCAAGGCATTCCAGCATATCTCGGGGACCAGCGCGTGCCTGCAAACGGCCAGCAATGGCGCCGCACCTCAGCCTTCGCAGGTGACTACTCCATGCATGCGAATCGACGGCGACAATGCGAAGCCTGGGCCGAGACATCAACCCCAGCATACTGCTACCGGTTCAACGTGCGCTCGACAGATGTGGCACTCCTTTCAGGTGTAACTCATTTTGAGGAGGTAGCATTTGTATTCCACAACATTGACGGACTGGGATATCACTACGGCAAACCGTTTAATGGGGTGCCGCAGTCGTACATTGACCTCAGTTCTATGATGACGAGCATGTGGGCATCTTTTATCCACGACCTCGATCCAAACCCGGGTGTTGTCAAGACTCCTATACATTGGGATTCCTATTCCACGAACAAGCCCGTTGATCTCTGTTTCGATGCCAATATTACCAGTCATATGGAGGCTGATACATGGCGCAAAGACGGGATTGACTATATCAACTCCGTTGCGCGGGCTTTTTGGCGGTAGAAGGGTGATTATAGTAATTATGGTAGAAAATACAGTTTATGTTAAGCTTACAAATAAATCCAGCAGTAACCGGACCCAGACCTATGTTGTAGGTCCGAATTTAAGCCATCAAACCATGGAACTGTCATTTGGAATCCACTAGCCACGCGAGTATTACATCACTACCCAGATGGATCAGAGCCAAATTACGCCAAGACACCGTGAACGGAGTACTTCCTATCTTTTAATATCGAAAATTAAGACACGCAATCTATATGTTGCAGCCTACAAAAAAATAAAAAAAAATAAAAAAAGGAGTGCCTCAGCGATTCCAGCTCACGTCGAACTAGAGCCGTGCGCAATCTATAGATACCCCGTTAGACTGACTAAAGCTACAGATCGACCTCAACCTCAATGTTCAACTTCGCGGCTCAATTATAATAATATAATATAGATTCGTACGGAGTAGCGGAACTCGTATTCTAGAACCATGGTTCCCTTCCTCCTGAACCCTCCGAAGGACTCAATAATGTCTTTTTTGCCTTTCTAGACCCACGATATGTCTCACCCCTAAAGTTGATCTGCAGTGAGACATACAGGTTGTATACATACTATTAAATTAACATAGGCATTGATGGTGGGTCGCGCCGGAAATGTCCATCCACGGCTGTATTGATGTGTGCAAATCCCACCTCCACAGGAATGTAGCCGTCCCACTCTAGGCGCTTATCGCGCGGATCCCATCAAAAAGAAAAAAGCCATGTCCGACAAACCTTGCCGTCTCCACCACAGGTAGATTGTACATGAGCTAGTTAGTAGTTGCGATTTATAACGTACATTGGGGCGTGTGAGATACTTACCGAACTCGCATGGAGAATGGGCATTTCAGAATGGATCAGACCCGTGACCTGGCCAAGGCTTACAAATTCGCTCGAGAGACACAGCCCTTCTCACATGCCGACGACCCCAATACAATACCTGCCCAGCCTTTTTTTTTTTTTTTTTTTTTTCATAGCGGGTACCAAGTTGTATATCATACATTCCAAAGCTCACCGCCACAATTTCAGCAATGGCGCTTGCCTAGGAGCCAATCTCAGATCGCAAGCGGGTGGATGCTTGCATTGAGTAAGGATCTCCTGCACCTGGGGACTGCATCATCAAGATCGGGGCGGGGCTGAAATTCTACGATTTGAAACTTTCATGCACGACTAGTGGTTTTTTTTAAAAATGGTTGCCTCCTTTTTCTAATACAACCTGGCCAAAACGAAGATACAACAGTGTATGCATCCCTCCTGCAAGCCATCTCCCGGGAGATCTCGGGCACTCAATCTAGGGTTTCGGGCAGATGCAACTGTTCGCTCGATCTCGGGCAGAATGCAGACCTTGAACCATTGACCTTGTGCACCTTGCAGTGGAGTACTTCGTATACTGATAGTACGGTATAGATCTCCCTGTATATCTACCCAAGAAGTAATATTGTTTGTATTACTCCGTATACAGTGACTGAACATAAGTTTCTACACCCCAGCCCCACACTCCTTTGCTTATATAATATTCTGCCAGTAAAAGAATATTTTTTTAAAAAAAAAAAAAAACATATATCATAGTTATATTTACAAATAATAACATACAATAAAAGTATTTGTTTTAGAGGTTTAGTAATGAAGACTACACCATCTTGTTCGCGAAAAATCAGCCTTGCGTGCTATTTTATAGTAATTCTATTCATGTATACCACGCGTTTTAGGTAGGCGGTATGATAATATATTGGCGGTAAGCTGGGTGGGGCTATAAGGGGTGATATCTACTGACTGTACTCCGTACTCCATAAAAAATACGCAGATCAGCAAAAGAAAAAACTCAAAGAGACGAGCCAAGATTGAAATCAATAATCGGTCCCATTCGGCGGGTAATTCGGTTTGTCTCTACTGCCCCACGATCTCATACGATTGGCCCCAACCAGATAGTCTTTTTATCAAAAGGTATTTCCACTTAATTTCAATATGGAGCCAGCCGCTAGATCCACGGGTCTCACCCGGCAGCGACCGGCTAGGAAATCAAAAAGGCAAAGGTAAACGACAGCGGTGTTGGGCCGGGGTTAGCCCCCAGCCAATCAGAATCCGGTTAGTTGATCTGCACATCAATTAGGTTTCTATGATAGTTTAGTTTTGGGTGAAGAAGATGATCGTGATATTCTTCAATAATGACTTGGTAGTACAAAACATACACCTACATAGGGTGAAATTGAGTGTTTCGGATAGATCCGCTGCAGTTGG